TCTCGCTCTTCGCTAGCGACTCGAATCTGTTCATGTATCCCAACCGATCATGGCTGAGGTGTGACAGAACGTCCCAGATATGCTGTCTACGTAGTCAGCTCGGCAGGGTGTGAGACACGAGCAGTATTTACTCTCGGTCTGCGGATGAATGACTTCCTCAGACGGCAAACCGCTGTCATGTGATCAGTCTGCTGAGTCGCTCTCCTTCCCCACTCTGTTCTGTTTCCAAACAGTTGCTAAACCTTTATTTCCAACAGCGAATATATTTACAAATACAAAATAATAAATATCACACGAAAGCAAAATTTTACTGTCTAGTGTTTATGCATTTTGTTCAGTCCATTATTTATTCAGTTGTTTAACAAAACACGACTAGACCGTAAGGGCGAGGTAGTGGCGCAGTAGGTAGTGCTGTCGCCTCACAGCAAGAAGATCGCTGGTTCGAGTCTCAGCTCAGTTGGCGTTTCAAGTGATGCGAGTTGAGTGATGCAATTTTCCAGGTCAGAGTTCACCAAGCTTGAACTTTGCAACCTGCGAAACTTGATGCATGACCTTGCATTTCCGGTCAGATGCATTCGCGTGCATATGAATGTAAGTCTATGGGGAGAAAAACCCAACGTGTCCGCAGCTTTACTTCATTCCCTATCTTTGTTTTGGAAGACCCCTCCATCCATCCCTACTCAATTCTAGGATCAGGCTCACAGCAAGAAGGTTCAAGTCCTAGATGAGTCAGTCAGCATCTCTCTGTGTTTGCGTGGATTTCCCCTGGGTACTCCAGTTTCCTTCCACAGTCTAAATACATGTGACACAAGTGAATTAAATGAGTGTAGTTAACTCAAATTGACTGAAAGTTAATTCTACTCATGTGAAAAGAGTTTTGAACTCGGTGTTAAAGGTAAGTAGGTTCATAGTACTCATATAGATATACATAATGGTTTGTAGCAATCGGTTTCCTCAAATGGTTCGAGTTGTCTTATCTTATTGGGTTTTACAGTACTCAGTTGTTTTAAGTTCTCTTCTTTTATTGGGTTTTACTGTGCTCAAATTGCTGCATTTACTCAAATAAATTAAGTTCACAGTACTCATATAGATTAGTTTTTGAACTTAAATAGTTTGTTGCAATCGGTTTCCTCAAACGGTTTGATTCAACTTAACTTATTGGGTTTTACGGTGTAGTAACAGTCACAAGCACTTAATGCATACACACTGGTGTGGTTGGCTGTCCATTTCTATATAGAGCCATCTTAATAATCAAGTTATAGGCCAAATGAATTAGGGGAACTCTTGAGAACTACCTGATCTCATGTCCCTCTTAATGCTCATTGACAAGGCGGGAGCCTTGTGTTAATCTATCTCCAAGCTCAGGGTTCTCTCCTGGGACAGCATGGCAAACCTGCTAACATCGTCGACGTCAAGCATTATCTACGCGTGAACTCTTAAAAAAAAAATAGTACAAGCATATATTTCTCGTTTTCCCCTCACAGTTCTTTATTCCGAAGACAGAGTTTAATCCCAGACTGACCTGAAATAAAATAAATAATTAAAAAAACACCCAACTTCCATGAACAAAATCAAGAATAACTTTATTTTACAGTTATTTTACAAACATAAATATTCCCACTCTACATTCAATTTTGCATTCTATAGAGGACATAGATTTTATTTTCCTTTAGTCCAGTAAACATATTTTTGCATTGATCTGCACATTGCGGCATCAACTGAAACTTTGCAGATGTGTCATCACATCTAGATATGTTTCACGGTACAAAAATCTGGATATTTGATTAGTATGAATGCTTATGAAAGTCAGGGGAGCCCAGCAACAGTACATATGGATATAGATGTGGCAAACACTGTGCATTTACACTCACAGAAGCTGCAGCAAACAGCTCAATGATAAGGCAATAGACTAGAGGCAGTCTCGAAGAGTGGCATTCCTTGATTGTGTGAATCGCCACCAAAAAAAAGAAACGCACACAAATCTAAAGCCTTTAGTCTCAGGACATCTAGAGTCCAGAGATTTCTCCTGTGAGAAACAGTGCAAAACGCAAAACGGACAAAAATACGCTGCTTCCATCACGAGGCAGGCAATACAGCTTTTAAAGCCCTGTAGACTCTACAGTGCAACTTGTGCATATTCAGACAAGACACACACATACACATGCATTTACAAAGACGGAATTGATCCAAAGGGAATCGGGCCGCAGCTGAGCTCAGCAGGACACAGAAGGGTATTCGCAGTTTTTTCACTGATACAAGTTTGTTTTCGGGCCATGAAAAAAAGCCAAACTGTTCTCAGGGCCTGCACACATACTGTACCACGCAGAATGGAGAAGAGTCTCATCTGAGACCGCTGTATTCTCCCTGAGAATCAACGCATTAGAAAAATATTTCATTCCCATCTTCCTACATTTCCTCCAAAGAGTCTAAAAGCAGCTTTATTCCATTTATAAATAAGGCAACTATATCAACACTAAAGGTCTTGTAGAATCGCAACCCAGTGAACTGCTGGGTTTCAGGGCTTCTCATGCAAATGCCGTAAGGTCAACAAAAAACTAAATTCATTTTTAACATGGGTGTCAATTTTGAAATGTCACATCCAAATATACAAGATATCCATCTCCTGATGAAGAGTCAAAAGATATCATAACATACTGTATACCTCTTTTAGCGTTTAGTTTACAAAAACTGAACTCTTTTCCCCCCAAGCTGAAACAAACATTTAAAAATGCTCTTAAACACACACTACTGAACTACTGAATACTATCCTTCTGTTGCAAGTTCTCCTAAAAATTCAAGTCTGGTTTATTTTATTTTTATTATTAAAATAAAGTGCTTAAATATGTTCCTTAACTAGACGGAGTATAAATCAGAGTGTTATAGACGTTACTGAAGTCCTCGCAAAACTAATAATGGTGAGAAATGATATTTACACTGAAGTTATGCAGATCATCTATGAACAAGAATTGTTTGAAAATATCAGTAGCTTTGTTTTCTCAAACTTTACCAAGACCAGCGGTTCCTCAACTCAGTCATCTGCATACTTTACATGAGTCTCCTATTGGACGCACACAGTTCAGGTTATGGAGCACTCGTTAACTCAAGCTGAAGACCTGATTCATATGGCCACTGAATAAAAAAATGAAAAATGTAGATGTGGGTTTTTATTTCACAATTCTTACGTATTTCAGAAATGAGTGATTGAAACTTGCATTGGCCAAAAAAAAGGTAGCTATTTGAGAAAATTTGTCAATTTGGCAGAAATAAACCCTGCAGTTCTGACTTATTTTTCTCAGAATTACATAATAAAATCACGCATTTGCCCATTATTAAGACATAATTGCTAGATATTCACTGTTAACAGTGGGAGAAAAGCAGTATGAAAAAAAGTCTTAAGTTGGTGGATAAAAACCCACATTTACTTCCCCAAAAATGAGACAAACTCATATTCACAAGTCACAAAGTTCAGTTCTAAAAGGAAAAGGCTATATTTGACTACATATTTATAGAATTGAGAGTTTAAATCTTACAATTCTGAAAAAGCAAAGTCAGAATTGTGGGTTTCAACCGGTCTTTCCATTTAAAGCTGACTATTTAGATATACAAGTATGCAAGTACTGAAATTCTATTTTAACAACTAGCAAATGAGAGTCAAAACTGAGAGGAAAAAAGTCAGAATTGTGAGATGAAGTCACAATTACGGTTTTTATCTTTTATTTAGTGGTGGAACCAAATTTCCAAAGTTTCCAGCATGTAAATGAAAGAGACATAAAAATATGCAGAGTGGTGGGTCTGAAGTTGAGAATCACTGACTAACTGATTCTCAAACCACAATCATTTTCAACCTGGACCCAAAGTGTTAAAGACTTTCTTTTTCCTTGACATCTGTTTAGCTGCCCATCATCATGGGGAGTGTGTAGTGTTTCTTTAAATCATTTTATGCTGAATTCTTTTTCTAATAACCTTCTAAATTAAATAAATAAACAGCATTAAAAAATAAATTATCAAAGAAAAGTCCTCAGCAGTATAACTGGGACCCCATTTGATGAGTAAGAAAACGTTCAATAATCCCCCATGTTGCTCTCTGTAACTTTGAAAACATGAAAAGTGTAAATTTAGCCTAATAACACAAACAAATAAGTTGAATAAACATAAAAGCAATAAGTTATGTGAGCGAAACGTAAGTATGTTGTTGATTTTATAAGAAAGTGCCAGACTTCGCTACTGAACACTGCCATCTAGTGGAATGAGAACTCCGGAGCTCCACCAGGATTATTAGCATCACATCTAACAAAGTTTCTAGCGCATCCAGTTCCAGTCGTTTACTTTAAATAATGAACTGAAGAATGCAGTTGTTTTGTTTGTTGTTGTTGCATGTACTAAATGATTGTGTAACTCTTGCTCTTTGAATCAATCTTGTGTGTGACTCTTCCTTCACATAAATCCTTTAATACAATCTTGCAGTCCCTACAGCAAACAACTCCATATCCTTAAAGAAAAACTTCACTTTTTTGGGGGAAATATGCTCAATTTACAATAAATGGCTAATGGTCTAATCGGATTCAATGATTTATGCTAAGCTAAGCTAACAGTGCTCAACTGTTTAACTCCAGGTGATTAGTAAAGCGAGCATATTTCCAAAAGAATTGGAGAGTTCCTTTAAAATGACATCAGAGGATAATTGAGGGGGTGTCTGGATTTAAAACACACATCATTTAGAGATGCTCACATTTTACTCACAGCAAAGATTGTGTTTTAAGCAGAGGTATTGACTATTATCTTTTAGTGCTTTCTCATATATTCCAGTTATTCTTCCATTCAGGGATCAAAAGCAAACCTCGGCCTTGAAATTTTGAGGAAAAAAAAAAGTTTTGTTCTTCCCATCATGCATGCTGTTTCTTGGCCAACTGATGCTCCATTTCTCCTTGAGTGCAAACTGTCGAAGGATTCCTTTCAGTAATAAAAAAAGAAAAAAGGATTTAACAGTGCTCGGGTTTCTCTCACCGGGACTGAACGCCAAGGGTGATCTTTAAGTTCTCATAGACCACGTAGCTGATGCTAACAGCAGGGATGACCTTCATAAAATTGGGTGCCAAGCCTCTATAGAGTCCAATAGCGCCCTCTGTCCGTACAATGTGTCTGAAGAGTCCTGACATGGTCATCTGAGGACTTCCTTCCTGAGAAGCTGGAGGACAAATGAAAGATGAATGGTAAATGTCGGTGACAGGAGATCTATAGAATTAGGCATTGAGGGTTTCTAGCAGTAAACAAGTCTTGTCTGTTGTGAAGACTGACCTTGCGCCTGCATGCGTGTCCTCACTAAGGCTAACGGGTAGCTCGCTAACTGTCCACATGTGCTGGACATTGTACCACAAGCTAGCAGCACAAACACACCCGGATCAGCGCTGTCTGTGGCAAACCTCTGCAGCCATGAGTTCTTCAGTGTCTACAGGAAAAAATAGGAGCGATATTGAGTTAAATCACAGTGTAATATATAAAATAGCAATGCCATTTAAATTTTTATTAACTATCCATTAACACAACTGTACTAAAATAAAGATTGAAGTAAAACACACAAACAAATTTATATTTATATTAAATTTATATACCTGTATACTTATGACTTTCGTTTTCTCTTGGATCGCTTTTATTTTTTTAAATTTTTTAAGGGGGCCTCCATTGGCTGCCCATCCAATTCAGAATTGATTTTAAAATGCTTTTACTGGTATGTAACTCTCTTCATAATCTAGCCTCAACCTATCTCTCAGATCAAAATCTACTTTTATATCCTCAGTCCAGACTGAAACGTAGAGGGGACAGAGCTGTCTCTGTAGTGGGTCTGCGGTTATGAAACACTTTGCCCCTTGAGATTAGAATGGCTCCATTACTATCGATTTTTAAACTACCCCTTAAAGGTACCTATTTAGCTTAGTTTTTCAATATTATTTTAATAGTTCTTTCTACTGCTTCATTTTTAAATTTATTCAGTCATTTCTCTTGATTTATTTTCATGTTTTTATATTCTTCTTTTTATTTTACTTTAACTTATGTACAGCACTTTGGTCACTCTTGTGTCTGTTTTTAAATGTGCTTTATAAATAAACAAACTAGAACTAAAACATATATTTACTAGAAAATGATGCAGTGTTTTACATAATTCATTCCTGTTTGCCCAGCCCAAATCAATTAATTTAACGTAACAAATGTAGGTGGATTGAACATAAAACAAGTGAGTTGTTCCAAAAACAGATTTCTCAAAAAACGTGTTATTTCAGCTCATTTAAAATAAGCAGCTTGAAAAACTACTAAATAATTTTTTTGAGTGTGTTTTGATGGCATAATATAATTGATATTATTAAAATTATATATTGTATAAAATAATATATATATATATATATATATATATATATATATATATATATATATATATATATATATATATATATATATATATATATATATATATATATATAATATTAAATGTTCATATTCAGTTAACAACAACAACGATGTAGCCTGAGAAGTATATATTCCGTTTCTTACGGTGTAAAACTCACCTCATAAACAGCCAGGTCTATTCCAGCATAAGGGATGATACCCAGCATATTGGGAATGTAACCCTTATAGAAAGCTGTCATGCCCTCCTTCTTAAAAATATGTTTAGCACAGTCTGCAATTCCCGAGTACTGACCCGTCCTTCCCAGAGCAAGACGAGTTTTTAAAACCTTAAACACACAGAAGCTTTGTTTAAGCTCTGAGGCATCTAACAAAGTCATGCTTTGTTTGATGCAGAAAGGAGAACATAATTAAAAAGATGGTGGTGAGTTACTGAAATGTACAGTAATAAAGTTTATGTTCTTACCTCCATTGGGTAAATGCTGCTCTGCGCAATTGCGCCTGCTAGAGAACCAGAAACCAGTCTCTCTAGGATCCCCAGCGTCTCCTGATTACTGCCAATGAGCCGCTTAATCTAAAGGACAGAGCAAAACATACTAAATTTAGTACTAAATTAATAGATGTCACTGTTTGCCTGTAATGCAAGGTATAAAACACATGAACCAGTTTTCTTTACATTTCATTTGTATACAACATAAACACTGAATTTACTGCAAAGAAAAATAAACTGGAAGGAAATATCAAAATCTTTTTTCCCCAAAATCAATTGCTATATGCAGTTTTGAAATTGTTTATTTTACTATTTGCTATTCTTAAAATCTGTGTGAGCAGGACGTTGCTGGGACTTTTATTTCAGTATGCTGACATTCCAACTGAAACCAAATATTAAGTAACGTCCGGGGCTTTCTTTTTGTGCATCATTCCCTCTTAGCAAATTAACGGTAAGAGGGACATGGTTAAGATTATTGTGGCTGAAGTCATCAAACTAATGAAAAGAAAGCAATTGGTCAGACTTTGACTGAAGATTGCCAATACAAATATCTCTTATTATGCCAAATAAATGTTTTACTTCACACAGACACCAAGTCTACTTTTTTTCACTGTGAAAACTCCTCAAACTGCAGATATCTTGGCTGTTTCTCAATATGTGTTCTTCAGTGATCTTGCGTCCTTGTATTCTCGTGTAACGTCATCATCAACTGGCAAAGTTCAGTTCCAAAACTCAAGACCGCAAGAACGGAGTAAGTGTGAAACTTTCCAGATGTGTTCTTGATATCGAGGATGTGTCGATGCAGACTTGAGCATCTAACTTGCTCTAGAAGTCCCAGAAGTCATTGCGACTGAAGGTGGGAAGCGCAGCATTTTATATAGGTTTATTATTAAATTTCAGAGATACAACCTATTTGTTTCTGGAGTTTCCCTAAATGAGACGGTGAAAGTAAACATTACCATGAACATCTTAATAAAGGAATAAACACATTAAGGGAGTTTATTTGCTGAAATTCAAATTAAAATCTGTTTTATTCATTTTGTGCAAAGTATATCTGTAAGGTCTTTATGCATAGTATATATTGTGAAAAACAATATATATATATTGGGAAAAACAATAAATCTTTGTATGAATGCTGTAACGTTTAAATCATTTTCTGTTAAAAGCGTATGAAGGTCATGAGAATGCAGCATCACATCACATCCCGAGTTTGTTCTTCTGAGGTGATCTGGCAAGACTGCTCTTCACAAGAACTGTCCGTTCTCTGCATTCTTGGAATTGAGAAACAGCCCTCGTCTTCCATCAGCAGGGAAGGTTGCCCAAATTCAGCCCTGGAGGGCAGGTGTTCTTCAGAGTTTAGTTTAAACCTCAATTTTACACATCCGAACCAGCTGATCAAGCTCTTTCTAGGTATACTAGAACTACTGACTTCATACAGGGAATGAAAGGGATTTAGGACTCACTCTCGTCTCGAGGCAGCATTAAGCTAAAAAACCACAGTACGCTTAAGGCATTAGTTGTTGAAGTTCCATTCGACCTTTAGGCACACACTCACAAACTTCCCTTTCCTTGTTCCCTCAGTGGAATCCCTCTGGCCATTTTAAAATGCATTCCACTTCATCATCAAGTGAACAAGGGAAGTTTACATGGACATACCCTCGATTTCTTGATTTTGACTGAGGGAACGAGTTGACTTCACGTTCACTCCAGCACGTATTGCACTCCAGAGTGTAATACGACTGTTACGTCACAACAGCGTAGTTTCTAAATGCTCAAACATTTATGGCGTTGCATTTAAACCCAATCAGATGTTCAACCAGTAGTGCACACTTGTGTAACGTAATCAATGACGTACATCGGAGGGAATGTAGAGAACAGAAAAGTTAATGAGTGAAATGGACTGGAATGCAGCCTAGAAGCTTCCAGGCAGGTGTGTTAAAGGAAGTTTGGTTAAACTATGAAGGACAGCGGCCCTCCAGGACAGAGATTGGGCACTCTTGCTCTACAGGGTGCTCACTCCTTTTAATAAATCATTTTCCAGGACAATTCCAAGACATTTCCAGAAGCTTTTACAGGTAATTCATGACCGGAGTTGGTCACAAACGGTTAGAGGAACCTCGGAGGGTCAAATCAAAATGTAATTGCCATTGCGCAGCAGAGACCAAGACCTAGCTCAGCTCAAACAGAAAAACCCAGGACAAGAAGCATTATTTCCAGGACAGTTGGTCAATCCATCAATCGCCTGACTGGAAAACAACCCTGTAGATTTCTAGGTTTTTTCAGAATGTATGGGAACTCTGCTCTGGTGTAAACTGATGGAAATAATAAATTATTATTTTGCCAATAGTTTATTTTCTTACTGAGCCGATAAAAAACATTAAAAGAAGCGTTTATTGGGCAATACTGATTTCCGATATTACCACCAAAAATGCTTTGCATCGCAAATGTTTATTACTCATGACTTAGGCAGAAAAAAGTGCAGACATTGGATGAGGCTGTATCTTGCTAATCTACATCAATCTGCACTATCAATAGAAATATACTTGGAACAGTTGGACAAGTGACTGGGAATGAAAGGGATTTAGGACCCACTCCTGAGGCAGCATTAAGCTTTAAAACCACAGTGCGCTTTAGGCTTTAGTTGTTGAAGTTAAAATAGTAAGTAGTGTTTTTCCATAGTTTTTGTTAACCAAAAAGTTGTCTCTGCTCAGCAGTTTTAACCTTTATTATAGCTCAATATTTGTTACAAATTAAACAATTAATTTGACAACATGAGCAAAAGGGTTATTTGGTCACAATGTAATATTTTAATAAGATTATGTTTGCCTTATAAGCTATTATAATGTTTATCATAATATCCGGCACCTAGACTGCAGCTCTGCACAAGAAGTTTGGTCAGAGGAGAAATGGTTGTGTTCAACTAAGGTTGGTTTCTTTTGAGATTTTTTCCTTCACTTAAGTCAATTGGTGAAGTTTGTTCCCCACCACTGATGCCACTGGCCTGCATGGTTCAGGCTATGCATCGGTAGATTAGCTCTGCAGTGTTTGGACTTTCAGCAGTGAAATTCAAACCACACTGAACTGAACTGAACTCTGAAACTGAAAACTGGACTGACATAGTATCAGTTTACTAGAACGTTTATGTGAAGCTGCTTTGACAAAATCTACATTGTAAAAGAGCTAAAGAAATAAAGATGAATTACCTGCTCATATGCCATGAACTTGATAGCAGATTCAGGTGCAATCTTCAAAACATTGATCCCATTGCCTCTCCACAGTGAGCGCAGTCCACCCTCGCGAATCATCTGGGTGAATCCTCCAGCGATACCCATGCTGTTACTGCGCGTTGCATGAACCTGTCAACACCATTCCAGAGGTAAAACATCTCGATTTACTAAGAAATATAGTTTTCTGAACACATTTACAAAGAGTGAAGTTAAGGTGAATACAGCTTTAGTCTTATGATTCAATTTATACAATTCAATATGTTGATATCTTTAAAATCTAACAAATGAAACAGGTTCTAGTTTGACTTGGAGATTTTTTTTTCTAAATTTACATAATCACCCACACCAAGGCACTAATTCAAAGAACAGAACATCATGAGCCGCAGTGACTGTACAGTAATGGTGAATAACAGCTTACTAACACTTACACTTCGACTGATGTGGGATTTCATACTGGGATTTGTGCCTAGAGTGTCTAATGAATAATTTGTGTCTCTGTGGCAACAACAGCTATGATGAGTACACGCCACGATAATGACATTTAGGATGTTACAAAATCATTCATTTTAAATAAATGCTTTTCTTTTCTCAAAACCTGAATAAGTTTGACCTTTCAAATAAAGAAGGTTTTCAACATTTAGGTGAAAAAAATCAATTCAGCATATTCAAGAAATTGTATCAATAAAGACTAGTATGATGTTGAATATTCAACTTTTTCATCACAGGAATACTTTACACCTTAAAAAGAGAAAACCATCATTTTATATTAAAAAAAAATCACTCAAAAAATAAACATTTTCTTACCATTTATTCACCCTCATGTTTTATCAAAAGGCTTAAGGTTAATGTAAGGCTATGTTTACATGATTATGATAATCTGATTATGATAATCAAAAAAGTTATAGTTTTCCCATTTTAAACAGTTTCATGTTTGCACAACGCTTTCAAAATAAACACTTTAAATAACTGTATTATGTATGCCAGGACCATCACACAGTATATACATGTTTATATAGGTGTTTATGTATGTGTGTGTGTTTGTGTGTGTGTGTGTGCGCGCTTTTAAACATGGCAAAGAACCATAAAACCGTAAAATAACATAATAATACATAGCCAAATTTGGACATATCTACGTATCTTGTGTCCAGTGTCCTGCACTGGTAGTGTGATTGTGTCTGGTACCTGCATGAGAACTTTGAGGCGGTCCAGAGGTGCAGTACAGGTACGGGACACAGCGCCTGCTCCACCTCCTGCTACCAGGTGTCGCCACCACATTCCTGTGTTCTTCTCCTCTGCCGTAAACTCATCGGGTACCAACATACTTTCCCCCACGTCAAATATCTGTAAAGAGGACATGAGAAATTATATGTACAAGAGAACATGAACTTTTAGAACATCCATCCATCCATCCATCCATCCATCCATCCATCCATCCATCTATCTATCTATCTATCTACTGTATCTATCTATCTCTTTTTAAATTTAGTTTTGTACTTTATAAGTTAGGGGTGACCAACCCTGTTCCTGGAGATCTTCCTTCCTGCAGATTTCAGTTGAAACCCATATCAAACACACCTGGCTGTACTTATCAAGTGCTGTTCAGGTCCTAATTAATTGGTTCAGGTGTGTTTGATCAGGTTTGGAGCTGAACTCTGTAGGACGGTAAATCTCCAGCAACAGGGTTGAGCACCCCTGTTATTCACCTTATTCTCAGCTGTCGAGCGGGCGCTGCCATTTGAATCTTTTTGTAATTTGATATCTTTTCATTGCTTTCATTGGTTTTAGGGTGGAATATTTGATAATTCGTTTTTGTTCGCACTTAACTAACATTTAACTAGTACCTTATTGTAATATATTTACAGGCATGAATGAATTCACAATATTTATAAACTTTGCTAATGTAATGTTAATGTAAATAAAGCCAGTCACTTTTAGTCCTTTTTAACTCACAGTGCATAAACTAATGTTAAAAAGTACAACTTTGGATTTCAGTAATGTTTTATTAAATGTTAAACTATGATTAATAAACACTGTACAAGAAAAGTGTTAGTAAATACACAAGCCAACATTAACTAATAAAGGCTTATTGTAAAGTGTGAGCCTTTTTATTATATTAACATAGTAGTAGTATTCATATTTATTGCCCTACCAGCCTTATTGGCCACTACATGACAGATACAGATTAAACATTTTAACAATGTAATGTCATTAATACAAAAAAATCACCTTTGACAAAGATCAAACGTTTAAGTACCAACTTAATACAAATGCAGTTTCGATAAAAACTATTAGTGTTTTTCTAGGTCCAAATTTAGGAAACACTTTAGTTACTGGCTTATTAGCAGTCTGTTAGTAAGATATTGGCTGTTTATTAATATTTACTGTATAAAATATGATCTTGCGCTACATCCCTATTCCTACCCAATAATTCTTTTATTGAATATTCTATTTTTATTTTGACCTTAAAGCAAAACAGAACAATACAAAAAAACAATTATAAAGGCGGAAAAGAATAGGTGAACAAAATAAAACAAAAGATTTAAAAACCATTACATCAGTTCCTCCAGTTTTATACATAGATTAACAATGTTAGACATATTTCTAAGCCAGTGGGCACAGGCAATATAGAGAGCTTGCAGATGATGACAGGATCATACCTAAACTGTTATCCTTGGCATTTGACGGATAATTAAAAAAGGGTTTCCAGGTGGCTTTGAAGCCAGCGATGCTATCAGAAAGATTGTTTAAGTCTCTCTCAAATGTAAAGTACTAGAAAATACTAAAAGCCAGGATCTAAAAAGTGGTTTTGATGCCTTTTTCCATAGACAAAGAATAATTTTGTAGCTATCACCATTCCATATTGGACAGCTTATTGAATTTGATGACTGAACCTACGAAGTGAGTCAGACCAATTAAAAACAGCAATTGCTCGATCGAGGGCGAGCTCACAAAAATAACCCTTAGAATCTGAAAATTTCAAAAAGATGTCCTAAGGAGCCTTCCTTAGATTCACAGTTGTATAAGTGAGAGTGGAATAGAACAATGAAGCAGATGCACAATTTTTTATTGGATTAGTTGGTGTCTTGAGTTAATAGAAAATGTATTTATGACCTTGATAGATTTTTTCAAGTCCTCATTTGTAATATGAATGCCTAAATCTTTCTCCCAGGAATCATTCAAATACAAGGTAGTACCTAAATACAATGTCAAACTGATCAGTAAAAGTATCTACAAAATGAGAAATCAAATTGGAGGTATCAGGAGAGGCAGAAAGTAATTTATATACATCATGCTCATTTGCTTCTAGTTCAAAGTGGGAGATAGATGTACGAACATAGTTTCTCAGCTGTAGATATCTAAAAAACTGTGATGTAATAGATTAAATGTTTGTTTCAGCTGAGGGAATGTAGCAAACCTACCATCCACGTACAAGTCTCTTACAGTGACCATTCCCTTACTGGACTAAATTGAAAATGTGGAATCTCTTACCCAATACTTTAACCCAACTAGTACCTTACTAACTGTTAATAAGCAGAAAATTAGTTTGTGGAGCTCAAGGTCTTAAAAAATGGTTTGTTTATAGCAACCTGTACCTTTATTATTAAAGTGTGACCCATAGTAACATCTTTAAATGTTTTTCATTGCTGACTTGACATTTTGCAGCATCTTCACCATTCATAAATGCCCATGGAAAAAATTCTGTCAATAACCCCCCGTTGACTTGTCCCAAACCAGATTGAGTTTTTGTTTTATTAAAGACAAAAGAAGATATTTTGAATATTGTTGGAAATTGGTAACTGACTGTTGATATCCATAGTAGGAAAAACATACTACTGGAGTCAGTGGTTACCAATTAACAACTTTTCTCTTCTTCAAAAAAAAAAAAAACAAAACAAACAAACTTATTTTGTGTTTAACAGCAAAGAACTTTTGGGTGAACAGTCCCTTTAAGCCGAAGAGTAAAATTCGCTAATTTGTTCAGCAAGAACTTGTTTTGCAGCCATGATAATAACATAACAATTCCAGAAATAACTGTGCACAGGTGCTAGAATCATCTATTAGGAAGCATTTAGCGTCAAAAAAGGTCAAGTCAGTGACGTCAAGACACTGTTGATCTGTTTAAAAGGATCAGGTTCACGGTGACCCCCTTTTGTGTCATTCATGAGTATTTCAAGTGCAAGGCTACAAATTTAACTAAGCAGGCTTAGCAGAACTAAATGACTTGAGGTTGAAGCGCTTCTCCAGTTTTAATAGGATGTGTGTTGTCTCTCAGTGAAAAGCACATTAAACACAATGAAGAGACTTCCTGAAAGGATCAATGAAAGAAAACTGGCTCTGGAAACTTTAGCTGCTTTTCCACTATCGTGCCAAACCGTTCTAAGAACACTTCGGTACGGTTACGGTTGTTTCTCCACTTGAGCCTGGAACGGCGCGGCACGATTACAAACCGTTCTCGGCCCGGAATTCTCGGCACGGTTAGACAACCGTGCTGAACTGTGCTGACAGATTCTGTGTGTTGACGTCGCGACTCGGTTGCTAAGCTACCACAGCTGGCTCAGCAGAAGCGCGCTAGTCATCAGACATCCTCAATAAACTACAGTGCATTTAATATAAAATAATGATCCAGGTCTAAACGATACAGTTTGAAAAGGGTTTTAAAACCATAGAGCATCCCTGGCAGAGAAGTGAATAACTCATCACATTCTAACGAAGATATTTTATTCATTAAAGTTATTATTTTATTGTCTTGAATACAGACCTACTTCGCCTGCTGAATGTGAGTTTATTGCACGCAGCGCTGTATTCCACAGCACAAAACTCGCTCTGATCTGGGAGAGACATGCCAACGACTTGCGCTGCTGACTTTTTTTTCCTGCTGCGCATCGAATAAAGCGAATAAAGTCACGCTTTGCATCGTCGATGTCCAAATTCCACAACAACATCACTATATCCATGGAACACGAACTTGCAGACTCTTTTAACAACGAGGAAATAATTGCACTTTTTAATTCAAAGCCAGGACAGCTTGTTAATACCGGCGAGACCACCTGAAGGACGGCGTGTTCGTGTTGTAATGTCGGCCGTCCAAAAGACTTTGCTTGAAAGCTTTACGGAGCGGCACTGTAACTGTCCAAGGTACTGTTGTATGATTTATATTATAGCATATGCACTAATAAACAAGTCAAAAGAATGAATTAATTAAATAAATATGTATTCTTAAATGTCAGTATTGCTTTTACTCAAAAAATATCAATACGTTTTGACAAATGTTTTATAAAAATAAAGCGAGCAATTTTTATCATTTCAGCTATAGGCAATTATATGATTCAGTTATACATAAGTTATATGACATTTATGAGGCATGTAACATGTTTCTGTGTTTTTTTTTTTTTGTGGTGATCTTTAATATAGCTACGCAAATATTTTCTAAAACGTCTAGCAATATTTCGCCTACAGCTTGTTAGTTAATAATGAACACAAAAATAATTATAAAAATAAAAATAAAATGATCAAAATAAAAAGATAATAAAGCAGCATTTTAGTGCTTTATATGCTTTAAATCCTGCAATATATGTGTTGTTTCATATTCGTTTTTTTTTCACTTGCTGCATTCGTTATTTAATGTTTGAATAGTAAAACAAATAACAGCCATCGCTTAAATGGTTTCATTTTACTATCAAAATGTAGTATATTTTATATCATTATCAACTTTTGATATAAATACGCAGTGTAATTTAATTAATTGTTAAAAATGAAATAATTTATGTGCTGTGTTTTTATTAGTGAAAGTGCCCGCTCACCTTTGACAAGGCCTGTCCAAAATGATATTTCTGCCACTATAATGCAAATGCACTATTATTGTTGTCTTATCATTGTTTTTTTTTCTGTTATGTTCAGAGATTTTAAATATTATTTATTTCCCCTCCAATTATTTTTAATCATCACGTTACATTTTGGTAATTTTCCCTCCAAATAAAATTTAGCCAGAGCTGCGCAACATATAAATAAATAAGGGTGCACATTTAGCACCCCTATTTGATAGAGCGGCATAACAGTGTTTAGTCACATGCTTTTGCTTTTATGAAAAATAAATAAATAAATAGTTTCGGCTCTTATTGAACTTTAATTGAACAAAGGGAGCCGTTTACATTGCGTTACCAAGGCAACTACTGATGCGTTTTGTGTAATGTTTTAAAGAGCTTTGTCGCAGCACGACAGTGGAAAATGAAACCGTATCCGTGCTGTCTGGCCCGGTTTGGCACGGAATGGAACAGTTCTGTTTAAAGAACGATTCAGCACGATAGTGGAAAAGCGGCTTTTGAATTGTAAAGCACAATGTGGTTTTTGTTTACCGTAGAGTGTTTCCAGTAGAGGATGATTTCGGGAATGTTTTCGGCGGGGTGAAGAAGGTGATAGTCTCTCCACTCGTTCCAGTCAATCGTCATCGTACCATTTTTATCCATACTGTTCAGATAAAAACAACAAGCAGAGAGCAAAAAATTAAATAATGTTCATATACTAACTGTGGCTCTGGATAGCAGCAGCTAATCTAAATGAGACCAGCTTTATTCTAGCAAAATTCATCATGTACAATCAAGCTGCAAAAATAAAATAAAAATAACATACACATTAAATGGGGGAAAAAAAAGAAGAGTCCACAGTTTGAGTAATATATAATTAGTGCTTTTCTCTGCAAACTATTGTTGACATATCTTTCAAATATAACATAAAAATGTTGTCATTTAGTGGCTAAAATGATAACTGGTCAAGCATGTTCTGAGACATAGTCTTTATTGAACTCAAAGGGAATATTTTGACTTCCAGTAAGTGTATGAAGCAATATGTGGCCCTGATAATTTACAATTACAACAAATGAAAATATTTTGACTAAGAGTTCAAACATTTCTCTCAAAAGAATAAAAATGATCAGGGCTTAATACAGAATAAAACAATATTTTTACTCAAGCACATACCTAATAAATTCAGAAAATCCTCAAAATGATTAGAATTTTCAAGTAGTTTCTTAATTTTTTCCATATTTGCATGCAAAAAAAGTCTCTGAATTCAGAGCTTCACCACCATTTTGACCTTCACGTATTTATCTTCTTTAAATAAGTTTAAGAAAGAGTTCCTCTGTGGAAATGTCCTGTAAAACACCCTAAATTACATCCACATTAGCTCCTTTAAAAAAATAAAATAAAACACTCACATGGGACAAAACAGCCACTGAGAGAGGAAAAAAAAAAAACCCAAAACAAAGCAGCACAGATGACACACACAGCGGATGAAATGTAAATGCAGAGCAAGGCAAACGTGCAGGGAGAAGACCTCTACTTACTACATTATAGGGGCACAAATATGACCCCTCCTTATTCTGATAAGATGAGCAGAGAGAGAGAGTAGAGGTGGATCACAAGAAGGAGAGAGTGATAAACACAGACAGAAAGCGAAAGACTTTTACACGCACACAGTACACGGTCACACAGACAGAAAAGAAATAGAACGTTTGTGCCTCAATTAATTTGCTTCGTACTGTTGGAGAAGACATTTAAGAAGCTTAAGAATGTCAATAAACAATGAAGTGTATAAATTTGTGATATATGCTGTGTTAACTGTATGCTGTGTTCTTTCCGTCACCTAGATGCTACTGTACATAGATCAGTCAGCTTTTAAAAAGAAAGATGGACTGATGATACAAATCAGTAAAAAAAATAATAATAAAATAAAAAAATTAACCTCTTGAGGATCTTCTCAGCCTGTTCCTCAGATATATGAACCCCAAGGTCTCTTAGTGACTGCATGATCTCCTGCGAATCAATGTGACCTGCATATTTAAAAGGAGAAATGTTAAAACAATTGTCTTTTTTATCAATTTAACAATTAAAACTTCTAAGGTGGCCTCAAGAAGGTGACAAAACAAGTAAAGCATATATACACAAACACTTTCAAACTTTGAAAAACAATGAAAATGTGCAAATAAAATACAAATAAAATCATTTAATGTTTAAATATTAAATATTTTCTTTAAATAATCCCCCAAAAGCATTTGCACTGTCTTGGAAAAACTGGGTATATGTGGTATAACTTTTAAAAAGCACATTGTTTAGTTATTTTATTGATATCCATAATTAGTTCCTGTTAATTATTACAGTTAATTAATTCCTGCAAAAGTCATAAGCCCAGTAAAAACCAGTGTAAAACCACAAGATAAAACCAGTGTTGAAAATGTGCAGCTTGGTTGTGACTATATCACGTAGTATTTTCTGCAAGCTTGTCGTTTAGTTCAGTGGTCCTCAACCACTGGGCCGCTAAAGTCTAGATCGGATATGCGGCTGGCCAGAAGTGCGATACGGACATCAATATAGCAACATTTTTATGACACTGTATAACAATAATTAATCATTTTACAGTACTGTGACGATTGGGTTTAGGGTTGGGGCAGGCATTAAAAAATACAATTTATTGGGTAATTTATTAAATATTAGAAATAATTTTCGTTAACTTCCGGCCGCAACTATATCTGATCTAGCAACGACCCACCAAGTTGCAAGCCAGTACTGGTCCGTGGATCAATTGGTATGAGGCTGCACAAAAAATCATTAATTATTTTTTGTTTTATTTATTATCCAAATCTGAACGATCTTTAATCTTTTAAAATTACTGTATTCTCTAGGTTATATCTTGATCACCTGAGTGCCCAAATTTAACTCACAAGCAGCAAAATGAGTAAGGGGTCGTTCACACAAAACCTTTTTTAAATGGTTTACTAACGGCCGCGAACATTTTGTGCGCTGCTTATGCACCCTTTGCGCCTCATATTTTAACTGCCTGCTATGCCTCCCGTTTTCGCTCGTGCGCCATGGGCTCGCAGTTGAGAAAAAAAAAGTCAGCTCTGAGTGAAAGAAGAGTGTACATCACTCGCGTCTTTTTCATTCTCCAAATGAAAGCAGAGGTAGGGTTTTCGTTGAGGTGCAATGTTTGTGTTGTCAAGACAACAACTAAAACTTTTGAATATGGAGAAGAGACTTGTGGTTGTTGTTTTGAGTTATCAGGAGCTCTATGACTTCACAAGTCTAAAATATCACAATATTATTAAATATTAAAATTATATTAATATAAACAGCAACACTTTTGCACCCAGCGGTTCTTTTTTCTTGTCAACAAAAAAAAGCAGTGAGCTGCGCCTTGCGTTTTTGGAACATAAAAGCGTGTTCGGTGTGATCGGCCCCTAAGAAACAGACGTCTTCGGAAAGTTCCTTTGCAAAGGTAAAAAGGCCCAGTGAACGACCCATGAACTGCCAAGGAATGAATCCACAACCCATTTATCAACAAACCAGGTGAATCCACAATGTCTGTGCAAGATCAAATGATAGAGATCGCAAATGACGTTTGGATATTGCGTCTTTTCTAGAGTTTGCACAAGTTCATGGGTTCCAATGGAGGTGCGCGGCTTGTTGAATGCATCCTGCAGGCGAACTGGGAGCCACGTGACAAGAATAGACTGATCAGCTTCAATTTGTATAGAATATACACATTTCAGTAGACAAACACAGAACACCCAAACACAGCAGTGCTTTGTATTTTGTTCCATAAATAAAACTTGTATCAGCGTGACAACAATGTTTTGTCAGCTTGTCATTCTCTGAGAAAATGGTTTATTGGTAATTCTAACCACAACCTCCACCCCGGTCTGCGGTAAAAATGTCAAGTGTTGAAGTTCAGTAAAGTTAGCAACAGATTCACACATTCGAATTCCGGTGTAGTTGACTAAAAAATTCTTACCATCGTTCTTTTTATCAAGACTCTTGAAGACCAGCCTGAGTTTCTTTTCGTGGTCCCTCAGGTAGTGCACAAACTCCTCAAAGTCCAACTGACCATCCAGGTCTTTATCTCCAGCCTTGACGACTTTCTAAAACACATAGTGAAAAAAAAACATCAAGACTGAACCAAAAATATTTTTTGAGGTCAGTTGTTGTTCGGGGTGTTGAGCTAATGGGCCACTCGGGACAGACATATGGCTTTTGTTTGATTAAGAGAGTATTGAAGGAGCATCCGCTTTATAAGGTCCATCCTGACAACGTTTGACCTTTAGGACACGAGCTGTCTGAACCATCCAGCAGCAGATAATTGAAGGTAATGGAAAGGGATAGAGAAGGAGGATTAATGATTAACCCCAAGTGTCCTGGAAAGACGAGTTTCCAGCTTTAATGGTAAACGAAGCCCACAGAATGAATCCCTGCTGATGTTGCTCGCTTATCTCTTGGACCGACACAGTGATCTGTCTGTCTACGGCTAAACATTTTCAACCACACACAGAAAAAATAAACACTCCACCCAGTGACATCAGCAGTTCATAATGAGCCACTGTCAACCTGAACACAGTAACAGATCATTTACTGCTCTCTGCTACTTTAGGGACTTAATGATAGCTTATATGAAACTGTGTTTGAATAACAGGTTCACACTTTAAGCCATAATTTCTGACTTTTCCTGACTTTCACTCACTAAAATCTTCCATGCCGTCTTCTAATAAACATAAAAAGAGGCTGCTGTTGTTCATATGTAATGTTATAATATTAAAATAGAAACATGACATTAAGCTTGAATATATAACCCTCTTAGTTTATGATGTTGTAACCTTAACTTATTGAAAATGTTTATTTTGAGGCTGAAATGCAGAAAAGACTGAGCCTTTTCTGTGACGAGTTCTAAATTACAAAATGGCTTGCCTGTAAAACTTCGAAAACTTGTTGTAGATGTGTTGCATTAATTATATTTACTTTCAAATTTGTATGTCTTATAATTGCAAGTAATAACTACAAAATAATATAATAATAATGCAATTATTTTCAATTATTTTGATTCAATTAGTGACAGACTGGTGCTATCAGACATCATTTAGGATCTCTCTCCAGAGTTCAGCAAGAATTATTGTGTCTGTCTGCATCATTTGAGATCTCAGGCCTCCAGCCAAGTCTCAAATAGCCGTGTCAGTATAAAGCAGGTTAAAGATAGCTGTCTTCTTCACTACTTAATCCACACGCTGCAATGACTCAACTGCAGACATGTGGGTCATGAGAATGCAAACAAAATTTCATGGCATTAACCTTCTGAAGTTCAGATTTCTGTTACAATAGATAGATTTCCTAATACAATGAATCCAGAAAAGAAATTCAATGAGAGAACAGTAACGCTCGCAATCGATTACATTTTGTGGTAGAAAATGTCCATTATTTTTGTTTGCTTCCAACTTTTAGACATTTTGTGCAGAATTTTTAAAAAATTAAAAAAATATTTTAACTGACATTAAAAAGTTTAATATCATTTAGACAAACATAAAAAATGACACACATTCTGGATTCTTATGTCAGCTAAAATACGGAAGTCCAATAATCTAAATTAATTGATTCATCCCACAAAGCAAGTCTTTGCATGAATGACCAGGACACACATTGATATCTAAAAACCACACGAAGGATAATTTTCCTCATTTTCTACACTGAAAAAAATGATGTCTGCAAAATTGTTGCTAACAATCCATGTGGGTTGAATTTAAACACACAAATTACATTTAGTAATGCGCAACTGTTGAAATTCAGCCCAAATAAATTGTTTACAAATCCAAGGAATCATCTTTGAATAATTGTTTTCCGGGAATAAAACACTAAATCCATAGTGTTTTTACTGTTAACTAAAATATTACATAGTTTGGTAATTGAGAAAAGCTGTTTATATGTTATACAATTTATATAGAACTTATTTAAAGATTAAAAACACTATACTGAAATGAAATGAAACTGAAATGATAGGCCATAAAACAGTTAATATCTAATAAAACAAACTACAAAACGCTAAAAATTTATTGAAAAAAAAAATCGACTATAATAGTATGTTTCTAACACTAAATTGACATTGTTTGAGATTAGGCAAAACAAAATAACATGAAATCAAAAAGAGAACTGCACCATATTTCGATAACACTTTACAATAAGATTGCATTAGTTAATGCCAGTTAATATATCAAGAGTAAAAAAGATGTTTATTACAGTATTCATTCATCTTTGTTAATGTTAGATGAAAGTTGTTCATAGTTAGTTCATGTTAACTCGCATTGCATTAACTAATCTTAACAAGCATGAATTTGAATATTAATCAAGCATTAGTAAATGTTAAACAATGATTAATAAAAGCATTGTTCATAATTATTCAATGTTTGTAAATTCATCAAATAATCAAACCTTATTGTAAACAAGTCAGATGACATACCTTTCGCCATTTCCTGTACGAATCAAACTCTTGTGATGGAAGAAATAAACTTAACTTAAAAAGAGACTTTAGCTGCACTGGTAAACTCTCAGACTCGAAATACTCAAATTCAGTTCGCTCTGAGATATGGACAGGCACGTACAGACACAAGCACAACATGTTCAGCTAGAAATAAATCAATAAATAATAAAAACTGAAAACTTAAGATTGATTCACGCAGCTCTGGACTGTTCTTTAAAGCTATCAGGAGTATAAAGCCGGTATTTCTGACACATGGGATTAAGGGACCTAGAAATCCCTCCCATTTCGAACATGTACTGCGCACTGAAGCACAATTGGCTTACGTCACATACAGTACAGCATCACCTTCTAACAAGGCTTATTGGTGTCGCAGTTTTCAAGGTTGACAGTCATGCACAGCACATCTAATATTAGCATGTAGAAACTCCACATACTTTGAATGAGAACAATTGATGTTTACTGATGTTATTTAATATATATATATATATATATATATATATATATATATATATATATCAATTAAATAAACTTATTAATGAGATAGTTTAGCCAAAAAAGACAATTCATTTACATATAACATTTCCATGGTTCTAAACATTTTATAATTGTTTTCCTATACTGAACACAAAACAAGATGTTCTGAAGGAAAAAGCCACCATTGACACCCATAATGGGAACAAAAAGATGTCAATAGCTATTATTTTTGCAATATTTCTCAGTATTGTCCTTTGTTCAGCAGAAAATTTAACTCAAATAGGTTCAGAACAAGTGGAGGATGAGCAAATAATGAAAATTAGCATTTCTAGGTGAACTACGCCTTTAAAAGTAACAAAACCATTAAAAATAGCTTCATAAAAATAATACAACTTTTAAAATGCAAACCATTTAAGCTAAGTTTCTCAAAAAACCCCATTTATTTCTTAATGGACGAAGTTGGTAACACTAATCTGACCCTGCAACAACGGTTACCAAAGGCTTAGCAAAGGGTCAATTAAATGACAAGTAATTAGTGAAATCGGTGGTCATAAAACAGCAAAAGCTTTACTGAGCCCAGTGTGCAATTAATCTTGGTCTCCAGAGATAACAGATGAGTCAATCTGATGATACACAATGTAATGGAGTCTAATCCTGTCACCAGAACACAGTCTTTCCCAGCAGAGCCTGACCAGGGCCAGAATTGACCATAATAATACTTTAAGAGCAGTAGAGATTGTGAATTACTAAAGATGTGTGAGGAAAGATTCACATCACATCATGCATGGGAGATTTTAAATTTGCAAAAGAAGAAAAAAATGAAGAAGAAGAAAAAAAAGACTCATCAGTTTCTGGATCACTGTCTCCTATTTATCTGTTTGGTTAATAAAATTAAAATAACAGCAAAGAGTTTTTTGGACATTTTCTGCTCCTGTAACTGCCTTTAACTCCTCCTGCTTCAGTATTGACCATTAGTTCACAGAATGTGCCCTTGTGTGAAATTATTTCAATGATGGGATAGGTTACCCCAAAATGTTTTACAATTTACACTTAAACTGTGAAAAAACCTAACAAAAAAGTGCATCCTAACAATGCACTAAGGGCTTAAAAAGTGAAAAAAAGTGTAAAAAATACACACCACTGATATTAATACTCTGAACTGAGGTATACAACCATTTAAAGATGCAGTTTGTGAGTTTGACACCCAGTGGTTGAACTTGGTATTGCATTCCTATCTTAGAACAAACGCATGTTGCCAGATTGAGGACCAACAGGAACCAGTGTTCTATATAAAAGCACCGGTGCGCGATAGGAATATATTCCATATTAAATGTTTTTGTTCGAACCAACTTCTTAAATTGACTTATTAGAAATGGTTTTCTAAATCTTCTAAAAACCTTAACATTTCGGGAGTGCTTATTCTGTGCTTCTGAAATGCTGTATTTAAATTTCTGTTGTGTTTGTCTAGTACAAACACCCAAACTACTCATGACTGCAAATCTCGTCAAGTAGCGTGTTGTTAGGACACAGGGTTACAATATAACCTGCTCACCTAATGTTTACGTTCATATTATTTTTATTATTTGCTAATTAATAACCTCATGGTGACAAGGTGGCGCAGTAAGTAGTGCTGTCACGTCACAGCAAGAAATTTGCTGGTTCGAGCCTTGACTGGGTCAGTTTCTGAGTGGAGTTTGCATGTTTTCCCAGCGTTTGCTTGGGTTTCCTCCAGGTGGTCCGGTTTCCCCTACAGTCTAAAGACATGCAGTACAGGTAAATTGGGTAGACTAAATTGTGCTTAGTGAATGAGTGTGAATGAGTGTGTATGGATGGACTAAGCCAAAAATAAATGAATGAATGAATGAATGAATAATAACCTCATGTGGAACTTTGAATCTGCGTGTCATTTCGGAGTTAGCTACTGTCCACCAGATCCGCATTTCAGTCACGGACGCATGCTTTGAGAGCCTTTGTAAATGAATGTCTTCATATGGTGCTGAAACTTAATTGCCTAAACTTGCATTGGGCGGGTTACATGACCAAAACAAAGACAGAGGTGTCGGTACGTAACTCATATTTTCAAAGCAAAATAACTGAGCAATGTTTTTCAGATAAACAAAAATGTTCACTTAGCATGATGTTTCTTAAATATCTGCAAATATATTATGGTATTTTTCTACTTTAGAAGAGTCCAAAACTTATATCCAGCACCTTTAAAATCCACGTACAAGTCAACGCAAAGACTTTATACTCCTTTGTCATCATTTGCAGTCTACACACCAATCATGCGGGAAACACTGAAACTACATTGCACTCATTTAAAACTTACAGATGTGCAGATTTCATTTAGATTGTGTGAGCTGAAAAGATTTTATTCCTCAAAATAATCTCACTGACCAAGTAGCAGTTTATAAGTTACCACATTCAAAACATAAACCAAAAGTATAAAATTTTAATACAAAGTTTTTTTTTTTTTTTTTTTTTTTTTAAAGTTGATAAGCTAATTTCCTTTGCAGTACCTGCTGGAGATCCTTAGGGGGCGCCACCATAATCAAGACTGTAGTTTTCCTTGGGGACGGTGCACTATTCTTTTGACCGGCCGGTGTACCTGCTTGTCCTTGGTCCTCCTTTTTTGCAAAGTCTTCTACATTTCCAGTTGACCCTGTGGTACCATGCTGGCATGCCGAATTTCCCAGGAACCACCGGGAAAGGGTCGACCATAGATCCTTGAACATCTTCTCTGAGTTTGCTCTTGCCAACTTATGAGTTTGTGTATTGAACAAATCACAACATCAAGCTTGTGATTGTTTGTCGTATCATTGACTTACAACCTATGAAATGACGTCTACAGATGATTAAATATGTATGCAGAGGGAAACTGCTTAGGCAGTCATAAGTAAGCCCGGGAGGATGAGGGCAGATCAGGACACCACCACACCATTTCCACAGCTAACTGGCATATCCGACAGCGTTTCCACAGAAACCCAGTGACCAAGTCAAAACTTTGAAAAGCTCCAATCAACAAACTCTCAATACCGCTTCAACACAATCTCAAACCGTTCTGGAACAAACTGTCCAAAAAACTTGTTCTTCACTGAGAGCAAAGTCGTTTGCAAAAAAGAAAACAGTATAGGAACCAGATACAGGAAAAAAGAAAAGAAAGAGACTTCACTCCACAATCTTCTTATCACACTACAAAGAAGCCAAAAAGATGAAAAACACAACGGCATTACAACTATTAATCTAACTTTAAAAGGGACTCCATGATTTAAGAGCGTGTATTTTCTGATGCACGAGCTGCTGCAGGTTGGCTGCATCTACAGCCGGCAAAAAAGTGATGCAGTGAAAAAAGCTGCAACCTCACTGCAGCTGTGCCTCAGCCAATCGCAGAGCTCCACACTGGCTGTGCCGGTCTGACAACGCTCAAGCAGCCAACCAGAAGATGAAATACAGCCATCTGATGTAGGGATCTCTCGCCCACTCAGCTCTGAGGAAATTCTGCTGACTGTTTCTTCTACGCTCTGCTTTTTTTTTTGTAAAGCCATTCTGTCATCATCAGGATCTCCCTAGTAACGCCTCCAGGGTGATTCCATGCATTTCTAACACTCACCTATACAAACATGCTTCATTCAATCAATAATAAATGATATGAGCCTTTTGGAATCAAAGAACGGCATTATGGTTATAGGTTTCTTTGTAAAAGCCTCTGGCCAAGCACAGCAGGAATATAAATGTGCAAATGAATCTTTCCTTGGTCATTTTTCTTGTAAATTGTAGGATTTCAATAGAGCTCGTTTGAACCAGATTACTTTTTATTGATCAGATTGAAAATGCAGCTACTAAAGCCACCATCTAGTTCACAGAGAGATTGAGATCAGCAGTTAGATTTCTATATAACTCTTTACTGTGTTTTACAAATTAGGGGTGGGCTGTATGTTGTTGGAAAAATCTGACATTTGTTTTGATGTGATATATATTTCAATATAAATATAAATCCAGTAGATCACTTAAATAGCTCTATTCTGATCAATTTCATCAATTTTCATGAATTTAGGATGATTAAATTAAATCTCGTTAATTTAATGATTAAATTAAAACTCCATAAAATGTAACACATTACAAGCAGAAAAAGTTAAATCAAAATAAAGAGCACTTTACGGTTTTCTGGGTAGTCAAACAGTACAGAAATTGAACATATATCTAATGTAAAATAATAAGGTCATTATTGTGTAAATATTAATTAATATCTTAACCTTTAATGTCCAATAAATAATCTAATCCTGCAATGTGTCTACTGCGGATAAACACATTGCGATATCGATGCTCAATTCATATATTGTTCAGCCCCATTACAAATGGTATGGTTGTGATTGTTATTTGATTACTATGTAAATGTATGAAAATAACAAAACAAGATATGCCAAGTCTGTTCACAACAGGATCTGAAGGCTGATTTATACCTTTCACCTCCGCTGACATTGCGCGCACTAGGGCTGCTTGATTATGGGAAAAATCATAATCACGATTATTCAAAACAATTGAATTCAAAATTATTCATCCATATATATATATATATATCCATATCCATATATATCCATATCCATATATATATATATATATATATATATATATATATATATATATATATATATATATATATATAT